ACAAAAAGTAACTCCCTCCTTCCCTCCCCAACTGGGTGTATAAAATGGCCTGTTTTACTTCCTTTATCCTTTAAGATTTCACTCAATCAGCTTCCTGTTGGGAGCTCCAACACATGCTACAGTTTACATGGGGCAGCTGTACTGCTACTCCAGTCTGCATGGAAGTAGTAAACCAGTGCAGAGTGGTCTGTTCAAGACACTGCATTGTTCTCATACCACAGCATTTGAGTGCCTTCCAACCATACATTAAAAAACGTGACTTGTTTCTGTCACGTGTTGTTTGTGTTCGCAAAACTATTGTGAAAGAAAGGAAAATGTGATTTGCTGCTTTGCCAGGGCTAAAATAGAAAGTGTGGGATTTACTTTTTCCATGCAGGCACTCGCAGAAGATTAGCCAGTAAGTACTACATTGGAGCTGGACAGAGGTCTGGATGCTGTGGAGGCCAGTACCAGGGCTTCACATGATTTTAATTATTCTATTCTGCAAATGCTATGTTTTCCAAACCAAATATTTGGTTAAATGCAGGAAATGGCAAATTCCTGTTCCAGCCAAAAGTCTGCTCTGATCTCCCTACTCAAAGCACTTTAAAAACAAAACAAAAAACAACCCAGGATATAAAACAGTCCCATTTCTGGGACTTCCGGTTAGGCTGGGCAATATTTAAAGTAAGGCTGCAAAAAGAAGCTTCGGAAAAGAAGGCCACACTGACCACTGAGTGACTTGATAAGAAAGGTAAAAAAATAAAAACACATTAATGAGCAAAGAAGCTGACCCAAAGAAGGGAGTAGCAAAAACAGTGGCTGGATGTTTTTAGAAATAAATGTAAAAAGTTAGAGCTATTAAGGAGGCAGAGATAAAAAGAACTGAAGATGCAGATGTGCAAACTTGGCAAAAGAATCAAACAGAAATGGACGTCTCAATGGAGAGATAGATGAACACTGGTACGGAATGAAAGTCCTTCATGTATAAACACAGGGGCTGCGAGACTAGTTTTTTGTACTGACCACCAGGAGAATAACTGATGTACTGCATTGCTACCTGTCACGGGCATGTTTCACTAAGCTGTGAGACTGTTAGACTGGCTGGTGCACTGTCCAAATGACAACCAACCTCTCCAAACTCTGGCCACCACACACGAACTGGATGTTCCTTCAGCATCGCACTCGAGCCCCAGGAGGCTGCTTGCAGACAGCAGCATCTTAGAGCACACAGACCCAAGCAATCAAGAGCAATGGCAAGCAAGAGGCTACCCCACCACTCTCGTGCCTCAAAACAACACTGTTGGGTCCATAATAAGTCTCCAGATGTTACCTGTATTTTACATTCTGCTTCAACCAGCTGCAGTTTGGTTTGGGCCAGCTCAAGCTCCATTTCCCTCAGCTGGTTTTTCAGTGTCTCCTTCTCCTCATCCGTGTCCTCATCAGAACCCTCCTTGGCAGAACTGGAGACCTTCACACGCCCTTCCTTATTGAAGAACTCTCGGCAGTGCTCACAGTCATCCACTTTTTGCTAAAGCCAAAAAACATCCAGCCATGAGCACTTCTATTGAGCAAAAGCATCAGAGCTATTTCCTGACTCTGCCCCCATGCAAGCAGACCAGGAGAGCCTCAGGGACCCCGTAAAAACTTAAGGGGCTCCTTCTGCTACTGAAGGCAAGTGGGGTCAAACAGCAGGCACACGCAGCAGGCAAACAGCTTGTCACCCTCAGATCCCCATTTCTACCATGGCCTGGAGTCTATAGGCTGCCCTAGACCATTCAGGGTGGAAGAACTGGCTCTAACTGCTTAGGGCTTTGGGAGGAAGATTTAGGAAGAAAAAGCACCTAAGTCAGGCATGGTTCAAAAAAAGTTTATTAGCAAATTACTTAAAACAAATTTAAAAGATCAAAAATGCAGAGTTTTGCTGTGTGATGAGTCTTAAACAGTGAAAACTGGCTACGGGACCTAAACCTGTTCAGCCTCCACAAAAGACAGCTGAGGGGATCTGGTGGCTGTCTATAAACTGGCCAAGGGTGGCCAGCAGGCAATGGGAGAATCCCTGTTCCCCCGAGCACTACTGGGAGTAACAAGGAACAACAGCCGTAAGTTGACTGAGAGTCATTTCAGGCTAGACATCAGGAGGCACTGCTTCACTGTCAGGGTGGCCAGAATCTGGAACCAACTTCTAAGGGAAGTGGTGCTCGCCCCTACCCTGGGGGTCTTCAAAAGGAGGCTAGACGGCCACCTAGCCGGGGTCATTTGACCCCAGCATCCTTTCCTGCCCATGGAAGGGGGTCGGACTTGATGATCTGCTCAGGTCCCTTCCAACCCTACCAACTATGAAAATTTTGGTAACCTGGTCTCTTACCCGGATTTTCTCAATTTCAACTTTATTTGCTGTTTGTTGCTTCTCCAGTCGCTCGCTCAGCTGGGAACAAATCTGACAAAGCAAAATTCTGTTACAAATCATTTATAAAAGCAAAGCTTTTCTCTAAATAGAATATTAAAAGCAAAAACCAATGCCACAGCAACATTCAACTGGAAGTTTTAAGAGCTCTGGAAGTTGTGGAATTCAGACTTAAGGTTTCTGC